GTCACGAAGACATCGGAAAGGAGAAGTGGAGAAAAGCAAAGAGCGTGGAGGGTATTAAAAAGCTCTTCCACTTATGCAACAATTTGACCTTTTTAATATATTCTTCCGTTCATTTGATCCTCAACTACTCCCCCAGAGGTGGGCCTAGTGGGAGTTTTTAATTTCAAAGTGAGACAAAGGTGTTGCTGGCAGGCCACGTAAGGTCCAGAAGGCAGATGTCTGATTCCTAGACCCGGCCAAGTTCAGCCACTTACTGGCGAGTCACTCCTGCTCTCTGAGCCTCAGTTTCTTCATCCATAACATTTTCTCCCGGGATCTTTAGGCCTAAATAGACCCCACTTTTAAAGATCGTCATGAGGACGAAAGGAAATGAGGTGTCTAAGAATTTAGCGCAGAGCCTGGTGAACAGCAAGCACTCGGTCAAGTGTTGCTCTCATTTATCGTTGTGTGGGACACAGACCACAGGGGAATGTTGCTGGAGAAGGACGAGGAGGCAGCCCTCAGGAACACGCCATGCTGAGGCAGCCCGTGTCATGGTGCAAGCGCCAAAACAGGAGTCAGAGATCCCCTGAGTCATTCGATCATGGGTAGATCATGTAATCTTCAGGGCTCAGAATCCTCAGCTGTAAAACGGGGATACAGTATCTTCCGTGGCTGAGACAACGCTCTGTGTTCACCATCCCATTTCCTTTGCCGGGTTCACAGTGGAACCACATGTCCCAGCTCTTCACAGGTCCATCGAGGGCCCGGTAACAGTTCTTCCCAGTGGAATGTAGGTGGAAGTCATGTAAGCTTTTCCAGCCCTGGGCCTTGAAAACATTCACGGGTTCTCACAGCCCTATTTTCTCCCTCTGAGGAGACAGAGTGGACGGGGCCTGGGTCCCTGAGGCATGACCCAGAGCAACACCACCCAACCTGCGTTGAACCGGACATGAGGGAGAAGAAAGCCTTTGCTGTGACAAATTGCCAAGGTGAGGGGGATGACTTGTACTCTTGGCATTTCCAGCTTCTCCTGGCTCACATACCTCCCAGCAGGGAGGGGCGGTGAGGAGCAGATGCAATCTTGTGTGCAGCAGGGCTTTGTCAAATGTGGACAGCTGTTTCAGGACAGAGGGCTGGGGCACAGATTCAGTAGCCCGAACCCGTACATCCCACTGACATTTCTCCTGGGATCTTTAGGCTTAAATACTAGTAATGAAGAAAGCTGCCATTTAGTGAGCATGCACTCTGTGCCAGATACTGGGTGACGAGCTTTTTGTTTTTACATACCTGTCTTTAATTCGCTTTTATTTGTAATTTGATTTAAATAAATAGAAAGGTTCACAGAGGTTAATAAAAAGACAGGAGCGTTTGCTGCATGGCTGTGAAATAACCTGCTCTCCTGGTGCATACTGATGGCAGCATCGGATGACACCACGAGGGGCCTCCTCCTGCTGCTCTTTTCCTGGACCCATCCCTGTCAGCACTTCACCTGCCCAGCGCTCCTTTGGTATCCACTCTGGCGCTAATCCCCAGGATGACCCTGTGATGGAGGGTAGAGAGGGCAGCCTAGAGGTCAGTGGAGTATGGAGGCCAGGAGCCAGGACTCAGGGGCCATCTGACCAGGATGTGTCTCCTGACTGTGTGACTTTGGACGGTTTATTGACCTCTTTGGGCCTCAGTATCCTCACCTGTGCAATGTTGTGAGGATTGGAATGAGTGATTCCGTGCGTGGCACTTAACACGTAATAAATACTCCAAAAATGTTGGCCATTCTGAGTGTTTCCCTTTACAGACGATGAGGCTCAGAGAGGCAACGGGCTTGGCCCGTGGACACAAGTCCAGTAAGAGGTCGAGCCTGGACTTGAAGATTGTGTGCCTCCAAAGCTGGTGCTTCTCTCTCTGTATCTGCAGGAGCAAACACTCTGTGTCCTGCCAGGAGACTCCAGGAGAATAAATAGTTCTCATGCTCTGTTGTCATTATCATCACCATCACCATCCCCTACTTTGCAATAGCACTTTACAGTTTGGACTACCAATTTCAACATTCTATCTCACCTCATCCTCACAGAAATTCCCATTCACATTTTACAAACAAGAAAACTGAAGTTGGGAGAGAGTGATGACTTACCCAAAATAGCTCACTCCATGGTGGGAGAAGCAGGACCCTTCCACCCACACAGCAGGGCCCCTGGGGAGCACGTTAGGGCACCTTCAGGCTTGCCTTCAGCAGATGCATTTTCCTCCAAGGCCTGTTCCTGCCTTTCTAGGTTAGCCTACAGCCTCTCTGGGGGAGGGTGGGCTGGAGGCCTGGCTCGGGGAGCAGGGCAGGCCCATCTCACAGCAGTGTTACCTGGATGTGTTGGAAGCAGAGTGAAAGGCCACCCCAGGGCTGAGTGGAGCTCCTGTGAGGGGAAGGGGACAAGATTGGCCCTGGTCCAGGAGGCTAAGGAGGATCTGGCCAGAGCACACACTGTACAGCCCAGAGCAGAGGCCGTTTGGTCAAAGGGGTAAGGCCTGGGCTTCTGCAGTGCATAGGGTAATGAGAGCTGCTCACGGGCCAAAGTCAGCCCAGGCCCCATGGGGGCTGCTCTCTGGTCCATGGCTCCAGTCACATACTGACTCCTAACCCTAGCCAGGACTGATCTCAACCCTGGCCACACACAGACCCCTAAAGCCAGGCACAAACTGGCTCCAAACCTCAGTCACAGGCTGACTGTGATCCCAGCCACAGAGTTACCCCACCTAGAAACTGACTCTGAGCATTAATCATACTTAAATATTGACCCCAACCCTCAAGGGCTGCTCCTAACTTCCATGAACTAACCACTTACTGACCACTGACTGACCTCTAACCCCAGCTCCAGACTGGCCTATTGCGCCCTGGCCAGCCTGACCCTGGAACAACCAGATCTGGAGCCCATGTCATTGCTCATGCAAGTAAGAGGGGCAGGTGGGGCCACCCAGCACGTCTTCACTGGAGAATACTTCGACTCCCGGAGGGCTGGGAGGGGGGACAGGGTCATCTCTATAAACACATATGTAACCAGTATTCTTGGAGGAAAAACCTTGATTTGAGGAAAACACAAGGGGAGCTTGTCTCAGCCACCAGCTCTAGGCCTGGGCAGCACTACAGTCCACCCCAACAGAAAGAGAGAAACCTGCCTAACTCTTTTTATGAGGCCACTATAATATTGCTTTCAAAACGTTAGAAGGACAGCACAAGAAAAAGAAATTACAGACCATTCACTTATTGCCATAGTTGTAATTCCTCATAAAACATCATCAAATTGTTTTAAAAATAGCACACCGTGACTAAGAGGGGTTCATCCCAGGAGTGGAAGGATGGTCCAATATCAGGAAATCTATCCATGTATTCTACCACATTAATAAACTAAGGGAGAAAAATCACATGATGTCTCAACAGATGCATAAAAAGTATTTGGAAATTTCATCATGATAAAAATTCTTAGAGACTAAAATTAGAAGGTAACTTCTTTAACTTTAGAAAGATTCTCTGCTAAAATCCTACAGCAAATATACTTACAAGAAATTTTTTTAAAATTTAGATACGTTCTTCTTATGTTAAGGCACAAGACAGGGATTCCCACATTGACAGCTATTATTCAGTATAGTACTGGCAGGCCTGGCCAATGCAATAAAATAAGAAAAAGGAATGAGGATAATAATACAACTACTGTAATGGAAAAGAGGAAACTATCAGTTATAGACAACATGATTATCTTCAAATAAAAAGTAACATCCAGCAGGCAAACTAATAGGACAAAAATAAATAGTTCTTCAAGATGGCTGGATATAAGATCAATCTACAAAATTCACGAACATTCCTCTAAAATACCAATAATCCCATTAGAAAATGTAGTAGAAAATAAACCTCTATTCATGATAGCAACAAATTTACAAGTCATCTAGGGATTAACCAAGCGAAAAATTAGTAAGACATTTGTGGATCAAATTGTAAAACTTTTTAAGAAAGGTAAGCACCAGCTGGATGTAAAGGTAAATCTAAAAACTTACAGAAGACATGTAAGAACAGTATCTTTCATCTGGGGAGAGAATGATTTCTTATGCAAGGCCCCAAATGTACAAACCTTAAAAGGGAAAAGTGATGATTTGTCTACATCAAAATTAACAATTTTTGTTCAATAAAGAATACAATGCACAAAGTTAAACAAATGATAACCTGGGAGGAAATATTTTCAATGACTAAAATAGAGGATGGATACAGAAAGATACTTAACGAGCTCTTGCAAATCAACAAGTTAAGATATACAAGCCAATGCCAATTGATAAATTGGCGTAGGAGGTAAATAAGCAATTCACAGAAGAAAAATGCCAAATGACTGAGAAGCATATGAAGGGAGACACAAGCTCATGACCCTCAGAGAAATGCAAATTCAGACCACCATGACATGCCTCCTTACACTCATAATCCTGGCAAAAATTAGACAGTTGAATAACACCAAATTGTGTTGGCGAGATGGGGGAGCAGGGGCCACTTACACAGGTGGGAGCATCTATTCTGAAGAGCAACCTGGCTGTACCTAGTGAATGGACTTTGTGTGCTGCTCATGGACCAACAATCCCACTACTGAGTAGACAAACCAGAGAAACTCTCTCACAGATCCCTGAAGAAGATGTGAGGATGTTCACCCCAGAAATGCTGGTAGCAGCAGAGCCTTGGCAGAAATCTTAGTGTTCCAAGTCAATTGTTGTCCATGTGTACTGTGGAACCTGTGTAATAGGCAGACACAATGCATTGCACGTACACTTAGCAATAGGGATAGGTTTTTAAAAGTTTAGCATTGACAGGGGCCAGCACTGTGGCACAGTGGTCAAGTCTGTGTGCTCTGCTTTGGCAGCCGAGGTTCGCAGGTTCAGATCCTGGGTGGGGACCTACACCACTCGTCAAGCCATGCTGTGGCAGCATTCCACATACAAAATAGAGGAAGACTGCACAGATGTTAGCTCAGGGCGAGTCTTTCTCATACACACAGAAAACCAGCATTGACATAAAAAATGTAAGGAAGTGTGAGAGCTAAAGCACAATAATATTTATGTAAATTCAAAACATGTACACATAAAAGAGCCCTGTATGTTTCCCCAAGATACGCACATATCTAAAGACATAGAGGACATACATTGGAGCGGGGGCCAACGTGAGGGAGGGGAACTAGACTAGTTTGGGGGATGAAAGCAAAAAGTAAAACAAAACAGGGTTGTATTCATTTCCTACTGCTGGTAACACATTTCTGCAAACGTAGTGGCTTACAACAACGCAAGTTTCTTATCTTACAGTGCTGAAGGTCCGGAGTCCAAAATCAGTCTCACAGCGAAAGTCAGGGTGCCCGCAGGGCATGTTCCTTCTGGAGGCTCCTGGGCAGAGCCTGTTTTCTTTCCGGCTGCCTACCTTCCTTGACTCATGGCCCCTTCCTCCATCCATAGAGCAGCAGCGAGCATCTTTAAATCTCCTTCACCGACTGCTGCCATCATCACATCGCTTTCACTGACTCTGCCCTTGACAGGTAGAAATGTCTCCCACTTATGTGGCCCCTTGTGATTACACTGGGCCCTCCCAGATAATCCAGGACTGTCTCCTGATCTCAAAATCCTTTTCTTAATCACATCTGCAAAGTCTGTTTCACCATGTGAGGTGACATACTCACAGGTGCCTGGGACCAGGGCATGGACGTCTTCGGGGGGCCATTATTCTGCCTACCACAGGGACCTGGCATGGAATGATGATGTCAGAATCCCATGAATCCAAGAGAATAATTTTCTCAACTCTCTGTAATTAAGTTTTTATGGGAAAGTGCTTGGAAGGAGAAGTGTGGATTGCTAGGAGAGTGTATGTCGCCAGTACTGTGTCCCTCTCGGAAGGCTTGGATGGCTTTCCTGAAGATGTGACATTTGGGCAGATCTCTGAAGGATGAGGTGACATTCTGCAGGGCTAAAAGGTGAGAAAGAGGAAGAAGAAAGCTGGGGGATGCTGGTATTGAGCATCTTTTAAGACCTCAGTGCTCCCGCAGCCCTGCGCTCAGTTCCGCCATGGGGCTGTCCCTTGACCAGCAGAACCGCCTTGCCCCCCTCTCTTCCTCCCCTTCTTCCTCCGTGGGCTCCTCCTCTGTGGGCTCTGGGTCCCGGCCCCTCTTACCTTAGTGAGGACTGGCAACTTCTCGTATCCTGCCCTCCTTTCTCCACCTCTCCTCTTTGTTCTGTTGGGGATGCAACATGTTGATGTCATTCCCATCTCAGAGATGAGAAAGGAGCGACTAGACATCCCCCCATTCCCCATTCTCCCCATCTAGGAACTCCCTCTCTCCCAGTTCCCTCTCTAGCCCAATTTCTGGCGAGAGTCCCCTCATGCACAGTGCTCACCCCCCAGCCCCCACCACAACCTGGTGTTTGCCCCCACCTCTGGCGATGAAACGGCTTCTGCCAAGATTGCCAATGACTTCCTTGTCAATAAATTGGGGGCATATATTTGTTTCCTCATCTTTCTTGACTTCTAGACAGCATTTGACACTGCTGGCCATTTCCACCTTGTCGAATGTTCTGCGTGGCTTCCATGACGTCTCTCCCTCGGCTTCCCCCCTCCTTCTCCAGCCACTGCTTCCCAGTCCCCTCCACAGATTTCTCTCCTCTCATCAGGCCTCCCAGCGCGATGCTCCTCAGGGTCTGTCCGAGGCCATTTTCTCATTTCCCTCTAAGCATATGCTCCCCGAGCATCACGCCCATGGCTTCCCTTACTCTTTCTAGGTGAAAGACTTCCAAACTAGTGTCTCCAGAGAGGTGATGTGCCTCTGTTCATTTCCTAGAGCTGCTGTAACAAAGGACCATAAACCAGGTGGCTTTAAGGAACAGCAATTTTCTCTCTCACAGTTCTGGAGGCTTGACGTCCGAAATCAAGGCGTCAGCAGGGCCACGCTCTCTTTGAAGGCTCCGGGAAGAAGCTATCTCATGCCTTTTATTTAGCCTCTGGTGTTGCCTGCAGTTCTTGGTGTAGAAGCGTCAATCCAGTCTTTGCCTCCCTGGTCACATGGCGTCCTCCCTAAGCGTCTCTGTGTCTGTGGCTCTTCTTTTCTTCTAAGGACACCAGTCATAACAGACTAGGGCCTCTCTAATGACCTCATCTTGGTTGCATTTGCAAAGACCCTCTTCCCAAGTAAGTGCACATTCACAGGTACCAGGAGTTAGGACTTTAACATACCTTTTTGGGGGGCACAATTCAGTCCATAGCAGTGCCTTCTCATTGGCTCCCACAGCACAGCAGCACTCGTCCACTGCGTTGCCAGTGCTGGTCCACCTGCCTACTCCCCCACCAGAATGTGAGCTCCACGGGAGCAGGACCATAACAGCAGACTCACCATTCCATCCCAGGGTGGCACACAGTGCATAAAATAGTGTTTGAACGAATGAAGGCTGATGTCATGAGTTGATGGATCCTGCGCCATCTGTACCTGCTTGCTCCTTCTTGCCTTGGTGACCTGCCTGGATCTGAAAGTGTCTGCCAGATCACAGCCATTTAGCACCATGGAGGAGTCTTAGTTTGAAAGGAGGAGACAGTAGTGGTCACAGAGCCTCTCCTGTGACTTCAAACCAGTCCTTCCCAGCAGCAACCCAGGAGCAGAGGATGCCAAGGCGAAGGCTGCATGCTCGCCCCCACATCGGCCTCCTGCAAATCCACCGGAGGCTGCAGCCAGTGCTGCAGACCCAGCTCCAACGATCCCGTCTGCACAGGTCCTACGTTCAGAGGAGAGGGGAAGAGCTGCACCCCAGCACCCCGCGACAGTCACCTGACTCCTTGTCCGAGAGCTTCCTCAGCAGTGTCAAAGGTGAGGTGGGCGGGAGGAGGTGGGAGGGAAAAGGGGGGAAAAGCAAATCCCTTTGACATGGTTCTCATTTAGAAACCATGAGTTAGTCCCATTGCCATCACCTGTGGGAGTGAGGGGGTATTGGGAACACGGGAGAAGCCGGCCTGCCCCCTCATCAACTTCCCACGTGGGTTTGCCTGAGGACGTTGGCACTCCTCCATGGCACTGCAAATGTCAGTGCAGATAACCATAGGGAGAACTGATTATTCCTCCGGATCTAGAAGCATCATTCCCTTTAAATTACTTGGTGGGAGGTACTGAGGGGGTGGCCTGAACCAAATTCTGTACAAAGGAAAAAACGAGATCATGGGGAACCTTGAACCAAAGAAGCACAGACTCCTGCAAATAGTGGGGACAGCAGCGTGTGACTCTGACAATTACATAATCTCATCAGTTCATTTTCTCAGCAGCCTTGTGGGGTGGGAAGGCAGGAATGGTACCCCAGGAGCCCCAAGGGCAGAAAGTGAAGTAGGGTGCTGGCCATGCCAGAGATCAAGCCCAGGGCTGGGCTGCACTTGCCGGGGCTGGAGCCTGGGGTCCCTGCTACCTCCTGTCTTTGCCTAGTGTATAATAATTGGATTTGCCCCATCCAGTGAGACCCCAGGCCCTAGAGGTTTCTAGGAGGGTGAAGAAGCCTTCAGAAAGACTGGCTCGGGGATTCTGGGACCCCAAAGTGATGGCTGTCAGGAGGCAGAGCTGCCGTGCACAGGAGCTGAAAGACAGGCCTCGGGGCCTGCAAATGTCATTACCCTGAAGAGACGTGTCTGGCTGTCCAGAACTTTTGAGTCTTTTGATGAAAACTAACCTGTTAACGCTTCAGGAATTTGCTGGCTGGCTCTCGAGCAGCCCACTCCCCCTGCTTCCTTGTGGATGGAATTTCCAGCAGAAGCAGGCCAGCTGTGGGGCAGCTGAGGATGAAGAAGAAGGGCTGGTGAGAGGCTGCTTCAGGGAGAGTGAGCTGGGGTGGTGGGGGGGGAGGGGGGTGAGACCTCTGAGGTCTGGACCGGCTCCAGAGGCTCAGAGCAGACATTAGCATCTACCTGGAAAAGAGAAATGAAAACTCCTCGCTGCCCTGTCTGACAGAACCCTTCCCCTCCTTCAAGGCACTGCTCAACATCTTCCCTTTGGTGGCGAGACCTGTCTTTCCTCAGACCCTCCTCAGCGGCCCCTCTGACCGGTCACCACACGCAGCCCACAGGTCCGCGCTCAGCCCAGCGAGCACTTACCCAGCCCAGAGGCGTCTCAGGGGCAAACCCACTTTATTCTCAAATCTGTGGATTCTGTTTATTCGAATCCTCAAACAGCCCCCGCCTCCCTCTGCAGAATCGCTCTCTTCATCCTGTTCCTGCCGAAATGTTAGCCCAGTTCAGGGGTGCTGTGATCCAGTGAGGTTCCTAGGGTCTCAGTCTCTTGGGTGAGTACCCAGCCAAACTGAAGTACTGCTGTCACTGTCCTCAGTTCCAACTTCTCTTTAACTCTGAATGGCACTCTTCCCCTGCCCCCCTTTTTGACTCCAAATCCACCTGGGGGGCTACAGTAGCCATCCCCCAAGATGGCCTCCTAGTGTTCACCTCCAAGATGGCCTCCTAGTGTTCACATCTGTGTAGCCTCCTCCCACTTGGTGCCAGGGATGGTCAGTGTGGACAATAGAATATGGCAGAAGCGAGGGCAAGCCACTTTCGGGATTCAGTCTCAAAAGACTAAGAGACACTACAGCTTCTGCCTTGGGGGCTCCTCTCTCTCTCTTTCTCTTTCTCCTTCTCTCTGCTAGCTCTTTCTCTCTCTCATCACTCACTCTGGGGGAAGCCAGCTGCCATGTCATGAGCAGCTCTGAGGAACTGAGGCCTCCAGCAGCCATAAGAGTGAACCCGGAAGTGGGTCCTCCAGCCACAGTGAAGCCTCGGATGGCTCCAGCCCCGGCCGACAGCTTGACGGCAGCCTCATGAGACCCTGAACCAGAACCACCACTAAGCTGCTCCCAGATTCCTGCCCCTCAGAAACTGTGTGAGGCGACAGATGTTGGTTGTTTTAAGCTGCTAAGCTTTGGGGTGATTTGTCATGCAGCAATAGGTAGCTAATACAGGGGCTCCTGGGCCAATGGGGAGCTCTGGGACAGCACTGCCAGCTGCCAGCCAGGGTGGCAGGGATGGGGGAGACTTTACTCACAGGCCTGTAGGCACGACTGGCAGGAGGGAGACCCTTGCTTCTGGGTAAGGGCAGCAGCCTCTGCAGAGGGAGGGCCCTGGCTGAGCTGGTGGGGCGTGTCCCTGGCCAGGGCCCAGCTTTGTGTCACCCCTGTGTGGTCAAGGAACCCTTGTCCCATGCTCAATGAGTAGTGGCTGTTGCTATAGCTGACTGTGCTATTTTCTTGGTTTTGGCCCCGCTGGGGATTTTCTTTGGTGAGAAGGTGTCAGGTTTCTGCAAGTTCCGGAAGGTTCAGCTGTTTGGAGCAAGCCTAGTATGTGTGGACAGAGTCCATCACTAAGTCTGAGGCTGCCACAGGCTGAGAGGGCAGGTGTTGCTAGCACAGGGCACTGCAGGGCCAGCCAGAACAGTGAGTCAGTGGCCCCTGTTCCAAGCGAGACCAATGGGTCGGGAAAGAAAGAAGCTGAGGCCCGGTCAATGGACATATCTGCATCCAGGCTCGCCAGGCCCCTGGGACGCCCAGGTTGCCTAGTTTCAGTTCTTGCCCGGTGAGTGAGGGTCCTGGAGGATACACTGTTCGTCAGAACTGGCTCACGTTATGCGTGGGGGTGCCTGTGGGGCTATGCTCGAGCAGAGAAGAGACCGAGAGCCATAGTGTCCGGCCCTGTGGACAGTTCCGTCACGGCGGGGCCAGTTGTCTGGCTTTCTCCCATGCCAGCCTTAGGAAACACTCCCCACCATGGCACCACGAAGCAGTGAGGACTCTCAGCTGCAGGTGACAGAAACCCAGCGCAATGTGGATAATAACCAAAGCTTCTCTAGAGTGTGCGCTTGCTTCAGGTAGATTAACTCACGTAATCCTCACAGTGACCTGGAGGTAGGTATTTCATCCCCATAACAGATGAGGACTGCCAGGCGGAGCAGACTCACCCCAGGCCCCACTGCTGGCGAGCGGTAGAGCCAAGGTCTGGCCTGGGCAGGCTGCCTCCACAGCCCACGTCCTTAACCCCCACCCTGCCTCCACCCCAGAAAATCCCAGAAGAACTCCCTTCCCTTCAGGTACGCCTGCATCCAGAGGCTCCGGCGCCTTCACCAGCACCCCGCTCTCCTCGCTGGCTCTCAGCGGGCTCCTGGTGCTGGCTCAGCCTCAGGTGTCTCCATGTGGCCGCCAGCAGCTCGAGGCTTACCCAGCCCCACAGTTCAAACAAAAGCCCGGGAAATGAGTCTCACTGGGCTACCTGGGGTCATATGCTCACCTCCGAGCCGCCCGCTGTGGCTGAGAGTGTCTGATGCTCTAAAGGGCCAGTGTTGGCTCCCAGCCTGGAATCAGAACCCCAGAACTCCATGGCCTGGGAGTGCGGAGAGGGATATTATTTGCCCGGAAGACAGTGGAAAAGGTGCTACCCAGGCAAACACAGCAAATGTGTCTGCAACAACATTATTTACTTCCAGTGTTTTTTAATGGGGGGTGTGGGGACATAACAATGCCATTGGAGAATGATCTGGAAATACAGACATATCCCTCTATGCCACACCTAACAAAACAACTCTTTTTACTCTTGCTTGTTCCCTCCAGGCCTTGTCCTCACCCATGTGTCTTAGGAGGCAGTTACAGCCAATAGCACACTTTTCTTGTCTGCAGGGACGACCCTGAAAGACGGCGGTTAACCTGGGGATGCTGTGGCTGACTCCTTCCATAAGCCGTATAAAGGAATCTCGTCACTCTGGGCCTCTGACGGCAAGCCTACTGTTTCCAGGGTGTCTTTTGGGTTCATTTGTTTTCTGATGTTGGGATTTTGCTGTGTGTCTCCATGAGGATGAGAGTTTCTGGGGTGCTGAGACGGGTGTGACTGGGAGGTGCCAGGTGGCAGCTCTGGCCCTGACCTTCCCCAGGCCCGTGCCACACAGAAAGGCCTTTCCAGGGTCCTGGACACTGGTGGCCCTTACGCATGGTCCTTCCCCAGGCACTTCCCTGGGCCAGGCTCTCAGTGCCTGGGCCTGCGAGCTGCTGGCCGGGATCTTTCTTTAAGCCAAGTGGTCACAGTAGGAGTAGTTAACACAGTGAGCGTTTCTGAGCACAGTCTTTATATGTCAAGTACCGTGCAGACCCTTTTTGCACACGTTTTTTCACTGACCTCTCATAACGACACTGCGATATGGGTACTGTTGTGGCTCCTATTGCACACATGAGGAGACGAAAGTGACCTCATCCAAGTCACACAGTTAGGCAAGGCGGAGCCCTGCTTCAAACCCACCAGTCAGACCCCATGTTCACAACCACTTTGAGAAGGGGAGCGGGAGGGTGAAGGGCACAGACTCTGCACCCAAACTGTCCAGAGTTAAATCCGGGGTTTGCCACTTACTGGCTGTGTGGCTCTGAGCAGGTTAATTAACATCTCTGTGCCTTAGCTTGCTCATCTGTAAAATGGGGTAATCTTAGTACCTACTTCATAGGGCTGTTATAAGGGTACGTGAGTTAGTGCTCATAAAATACTTAGACTTTGGCCAGGCACACAGTAAGCACTCAGTAAATGCTAGCTCTTAGTATTACACTGATGCAAAGTCTTGAAAGAGAGTCAATCTTCAACAAGGACACTGAGAACCCACTTCAAACGAGACGCTGTGCTTGGCACTGGGTGGGGGTGCAGGAAGGGCGTTAGACCCCGAGAGATGTGGGTGGGATAACAGATATGTACGATCAATGCTGAAGCAAGGCAGACTGATTCTGGCTAACGGACCTCACACATATGTGGCCAGAGACAGAGAGGAAATTGTTCAATTCTGGCAGAAATCTGGAAGAGCGTCAAGGAAGAGGCAGCTTTTGACCTGGACCTTGATAGAAGCCCAGGACTGTGTAGCCGGATGAGAAGGAGGCATTCTAAGTAGAAACAAGGAGGTAAGGAGGGGTGGGAAATGGGCATGTGATCAGAGGGTCAGTGCTGGGACGGAGGGAGAGAGGCCCTGGGGGGAGGGGGAAGAGGAAGGGAATGAGGGGGGAGCCCAGAGCGCCCGGCAGGAGCCCCCAGAAATGGGGAACTGTTTGCTCCGGGAGGTGGGCTGCCTGGTAGCTGAACGGGCAGTGTTTACAATAAAGCCCTGCCGCCTCGGCCATGGTCCCCGCCACCCCGTCTCTGTGTGTTCAGGGCCCATGGGAGTCACAGCCCTGTCTACCACCACCTGGGTGGGCTGCGCTGCTTGGCACAGGATCGCTGGCGTCCCCGCCCACAGAGACCCCAGGAGGGAAAGCAATCACTCCGCTCAGACTCATACCTCCCCCAGGCCCCTTCGTGCACAAAGCCAGCATTGACAGCCGGGGCTCTGGGGTAGGGTTACCAGGCTGTTTACAGCTTGGGATAGAGGATTTTCCTGGAGAGCAGAAGCCCCTTTCTGTCCCATTTGAAAGCTATTTGAGCTTTTGGAAAGGGTCTGGGTGATGGCATTTTGCCCTCTAAAATACAGGGAAGACCAGAACCTGGAAAGAACTCTGATGAAGTCACTCCTCCTTGCGGAGAGCTGCCTGGGCCTTGACGGGACTCCCAGGTTCTGAAACTCAGGAAGTCCCCAGAGGGGGCAATTCCAGTGAGCAGCAGCCGCCCTCCAGGCCAGGGGGCCCCTGGCGCCCTGGCTCCAGGCCCGCCTGTTGGAAGCGGGGAGAAGACCTCCAGGCTCTTGCCCACGCGTGCCGGGCCCATCTCTCTCCTGTCTGGCCAGGAGCTCCAGCTGCAGAGGGGACATGCCGGTGAGCCAGGCGTGCTCTAA